GTGCGTGGGCACGGGAGGGGGCTGGGGAGGCCGCGGTGGCGGCGGCGGCGGCGGCGGCAGCTGCTCCCTCCGCATGTTCTCGCTGCATCTTCCGAGTGGGGGGAGTTATGGTAACTGGAGGGGGGCAGTAGAGGTCGGGAGGGGGGGTCTTGGCATCTTCGTGGGGGCAGGGTTGTGAGCACGCGTGGGGGTGGCTGGTGTGAGGGGGGTCTTGGAGCCCTGCTGGAGGGGCAGCCCTGGTGTTTGCGTGTGTGATCGTGACTGTGCTTGTGTCTGTGTGTCCGTGCCATGTGCACATGGGGCCCAATCCTCCTGCACACACGTGTACCAGCACTGTGCAGGTATGTCCTGTCTTGCCCTGCCTCTGCCAGTTAACAGCATGAGGGCCCGTGGGGCTAGCCACCGGTTTATGGGGCAGTTTGTGGCCGTACTGATGCGCGTCCCTCCCTGGTTGAAGCCAGTGTGTAGGAATGTGTGGCTGGCCGAATGAGCAGAATGTTCAGTGTCCCTGGTGGCAGGTGTATGTCTTTGCATGTGTGTTCCAACACTGGCCTGAGTATCTGTGTCAGCCCCGGCACGGGTGTCCAGGGCGTGTCTGGATGTGGGTGGTGTGCCAGTGGTGGGGACCAAGTGTGTGAGAGGTGGGTTCCTTGTAGTCCGACTGCATGGAGCATCTTTGGGCTAGGCAGGTGTGAGCCTCTGCCTGTCCCCTGGTGGGGACAGAAAACCTTAAAGGAGTGGGGTGAGGAGGGAAAGCAGCATGAGAGTCCTCCCAAAGGGGAGAGCAGAGAGCCAGGAGGAAGAGCACCTTGAGAATGGAGTGGGAGAGAGCTGAGCTGGACTTGAGAAAAGAGGACAGCGGCGGCGGCGGGAGCCGGGTCTCCCTGAGAAGCCGTCCGGGAGGGTGGAGGGCTAGGCTGGTGCAGAAGGCCATCCAGCCATCGAAGCTGGTTCCCACTGAGGCCTGTCACCACGGAGACTGCAGAGCATGCCCTCCCCCAATTCCTCCATTCCCTATCTAGCCCCGCTCCTCATCTTTCCCTGGCTCCCTTTCTCCCTGGCTCCCTTTCAGAGCTGGGTATGGAGAAGAAGGACTACAGGGAAGGGTAGGGATTTGGGGGATTGGAGGGTAGGGGAAATGTTTGTGGGTGATGGCAAAATTAGAGACATTGAAGAGGCGGAGTCCAAGCCCTTGCTGTGTGTGTGTGTGTGTGTGTGTGTGTGTGTGTGTGAGCGCGCTTGCTTGCTTGCTTGCTTGCAATTGTGTGTGTATACAGGGTGTGTACTGTGTGGGTGTGTGCACAATGCCTGTGTTACGGGTCTGTGTAGGTGGCTGTTCTGTGTGTGCATAAGTGTATATATCGTGCAGGGATGGGACATGGAGACCCAGCATGGCAATGTATGCTTTTCAGGTTTGCTGTGTGTACATGGTTGTGTGCTGGTCTATGTCCATGTCACTGCAGGCAGCACTAATAACAAGATATCCTGTGTTTCTGTCACTCGGCCCCCTCTTCTCTGTGCTTCTACATTTCTCTTCCTGTGTTAGAGTCCTTGTGAGCACATGTGTGTGGCCTCCATGCACCTGTGACTTATTTCTGAGTTCCTAGTGTTCTGTGTGTTGCTTCCAGGAACCGAGCAAAGCAGATTCCTTCCCCTCTGTGAATGCTTTAGTTCCAAAGGAAACTTCAGTGGATTTAAACTTAAGGCTCTTGTGCCTTTATTAGAGATGCTTGTGCGTGAAAGGAATGGCTGTGCTAGGTTCCCTGGAATGAGAGAGAGTACCTGAGAAATGCAGAGGACGGATGGATCAGGAGGGAGACAGGCTGGGCCTCGGGTGCCCTGCTCACTGTGTGACAGACAGAAGGCTAATTAACACATTTGCTCCTTGTTTTTTGTTTTGTTTGTTCCGTTTTTCTGTTAGCCATCACAGATGCTGGTGGTTAGAGTCATGGGAAAGCTAGAGTGGGGGGGGGGGCTGTCCACAGATAGCGAATGTGGGAATGTGGTGGTTCTGTCAGTGTGAATTATGAACGTGTGCTTTAGGGGCATGGGGCTCCCTTTATCTGGCCGAGATCATGGTGTGTACATGATGCAGGGATGACACATGGGACCACAGTATACTTAAGCATGTGTCTCCGGGCTTAAACTGACAGGCCCCTTCCTGTGAAGCGTGAACTGTCACAGGGTTACATGTCATTTATGTAGTGTAGCCCACATGGTAGCCCAAGGCACCCGGGTCGCATAGCCCACACCAGCAGTTCTCGCGTGGCTGTCTGAGTTCAAGTATGTATACCCCTGTGGCAGTGCTCACAAATGTCTAAGCATGTGGGGTGTGTGGGCCTGGGGTCTCGGTGTGGGTCCCCAGTGCCCCCATGTTCGGGGCTGTCTGTATGTCTCTGAAGCACATAGTTCCCTATTATTTCTCATGCTGCAACTGTGATATACACGGATCCCCACTGTGTGGTGTGTGTTTTCGTGCTCTACACGTTCCTGGGAGACTGAGAGGGTTCTCTTGTCTCGGGGTCCAGACTTGTGTGTGCAGACCTGAATTTGCCTATGAAAGGAGCAGGAAAGGACTGTCTCTGAGGCAAAATGCAGTCTAGAAGCAGGCTTGAAAATGTAGTGTGGCTTTCACTGGTCTATTCTGGAACCTAGTGGGTTAACAGGCAGTTCTTCCGGTTGCGCCCCCCCCCCCCCCCGCGCCTGTAGCTTCTTGTTGCCATGGAGATGGTGGCCCCGCCCCTGATGCAGTATCGGCCCCCCCATTGGCTGCAGTGGTGACTGGGGCTGAGGGGGGAGTCCAGGCCTGGGCAGCCATTCTGGAGCCGGAGCCGGAGCCTGGCATCCCCCCACTTTGATTCTCCTTCAGCCCCTTAGCCCCTCCAAATTCCCTAGCAGCAGATCTTCAGCTCCTTCCTCTAAGCTTCCATTCCTCTAGACTCTTGGCAGGCCGGGCTCCATCCGCATTCACCTCCCCTCCTCCTCCTCCTCGCCAGCTTTGACTTGGGAGTCCCCAGAACCCACTGCCCATCCTCCCCACTCCCCTGCATTCTTTTCTTCTCCTTTTCGACCCTTCACTAGCACCGCAGTGCACGTGGACCGGCCCCTTCTCCCCTACTTCCATCGGCCCCTTCCTCGGATTTTCTGTTCCCCTCTACTCAGCACAGGTCTCCTCTGAGACCCCCCCTCCAGTCCTGGGAGGGGGTCATGGGAGGCCGCCCCGGACCTCCAGACAGACGGGAGCTCGGGGAGGTGTGGGGCAGGTGGAGGATGTGCCCAGCTGAGAAAAGAGGAAAACCCACCCATGGGCAATGACCTTTCACCATCGCCCCGCGCCGAGCAAGCCCCTTCTCTTGGGTGGGGGACGGGGGACCGAGCCTCCCTGGGTCGTGGCTGTTCTTCATTACGGAGGTTTTACTGATCTTCCTCCTGACTATGCCCCTCTGCTGACTGCCAGCCCCAGTCATGGGCTTAAGGCCTCCCACCCCGACCCCATCAGGGGGCTCCGGCTCAGGTTCCTTGCCCCCCCCTTCCCACCGCCAGCCTCTCCGCCGCCGCTGCTCTTCCTGCTGCTTTCCGGGGGGTAGGTGAGGCCGAAACTGAGGGACTGAGGGAGGTGGCTAAGGTACTGACCCAGAAAGAAACCGGACTTAGAGCCCCCGGCCCCTTCCCCAACTTCCTTGGGCCCTCTCCTCCCTCTAGAATACCACTTGGGTCGCTCGAGGAGGAAGAGTGTCCCAGGGGGGAAGCAGTACAGCATGGAGGCCGCCCCCGCTGCGCCCTTCCGGCCCTCGGTGAGTGAATGGAAGTGCCTGCCAGATGTGGCTCAGCTGGGCCCCAGGATTCTGAAAAAAGAGGACCAAGGAAGGCTGTGCATGTGTCCCCACGTCGTTGGTTTGCCCCTTCTTGGCTCTGCCCCCACTTCTTAGAGCAGCCCTCCCACCTTTTCCAGGCTAGTGTGTGTGTTTGTGTCTTTGCGCACTCCACACAGCACCCGTGGGAGCAAGGAAGACGAACTGGTGTCAGGGCTGCCCTCCCCTCCCCCACTCCACGTTCTTCCAGGGGTTCCCTGCCAGCTGAGGGGTGGCTAGAGAGACTCTGTGCTGCCCCAGTCACCCCTGTTCCCATTTGCTCCTCAGCAAGGCTTCCTGAGCCGGAGGCTAAAAAGCTCTATCAAACGTACAAAGTCACAACCCAAACTTGACCGGACCAGCAGCTTTCGCCAGATCCTGCCTCGCTTCCGAAGTGCTGACCATGACCGGTAGGTGGAGGGCCTGGAAGGGGATGGATGCAGTATAAGGGTGCTGAGTGGGATGGGGGCTCCCTGAGTACAAAGGTTGCGGGGCTCATGTTGGTTGGGGTGCAGAGACATGGATCAGAGATCAGAGGGAGCTGGACCAAGCTGTAGACAGCAGGAAAGAGGAGGCGATGGGGAGGACCTGCAGAGGCCGGGGAGGAGGTGAAGGTGAAGCCAAGGAGGGCTCTTAGGGTGGAAGGAGAGGTGGGCTCCTGCCCAGGGCAGGAGAGGACAGTGGTGACAAAGCCCACCGGGAGGGAAGTGAGGGAGGGGACGGAAGGAAGAGCAGCAGGCTGGAATGGGGGGGGGTAGCTGCTGCTGGGTGAGGCTAGGGCTCGGAGACCCCAGTGGCTGCTGGAGGAAGAGACAGAACGGGAGGAAGGGAGTTGGTCTGGTATGCAGGTAAGGGGGGGGGGGGGGCTGGGGCTAATCCAGGGACTGAGGGATGGGGAAGGAACCTGGCTGCTTGCCTTTGTCCTTCTCTGGGCTTCCCCTTAGTCCAGTCACTCCCTGGAGAGAGTCTGTCCTTTTCCCTCGTGTCTGGCTGTCCCAGGGATTAGGAGGGTAGGAAGGTTGGGATCAGGTGAGTCACACCTTTCCCTGCCCCCTTCCAAGTAACCAGTGCTGGATTTGGGGCTGGCAGGGGGTGAGGGCATGGTATTCCTGGCCGCGGGGGCGGGGGGCCGGGGGAGCGTGGTGCTGACGGCAGCCAGAGCCTGTGATGACGGGGCTGCTATAAATAACTTCATGGAGGCTCCCACACCCGAGCTCTCCCTCCTGTTTCCCCATGCTCTACTCTTCGTCCCCTACCCATCCCCACACCTTTCTGTCCTGCGTCCCCTCCTGCTGGTCCCTCAGTCCCATTCCTCTTGTGCTCCCCCGCGGTGCTGGGTCCTCTGCCGGCTCTCGCTGCCCTCCTCAGCCTCTGCACCTGCAGCTGCTCCGCTGCTCGCGGCTCTGCCTCCTCTTCCTCCCAGATCTGCTCTCCAGTCTCCGTCCGACCTTTATTCTGCTCCGTTCTGCCCACAGCGTCCTCTGATGCTTTTCCCTCTTGCCCCTGGTTGTGCTCAAAACTGTTCTCTTACTTCATTCATAGTTTGAATCATGAAATGGTTATTAGACACTAGCTGTGTGCCAGGTCCAAACCAAACAATACTCTATTTTCTCTGGGCCTCAATTCTTTGCTTCCTTTTTTTATATATTGAGATTCTGGTTTCTGGAGTCACCTAGACATATCCAGGACAGTTGTTTTGTCTGTTTGTTTGTTTGTTTGTTTGTTTGTTTGTTTTATTTTGTTCTGTCACAGTTTGTTTCTTTTTTTCTTTTTTCTTTTTTTGATACAGTTTCTCTGTGTAGCCCTGGCTGGCCTTGAACTCAGAGAGATCTGCCTGCCTCTGCCTCCTGAGGGCTGGGATTGAGGGTGTGTGCCACCATGCCTGGCTTTGTTTCTTTTTTTAAAACAAGATCTCACTATGTAGCCCTGGATAGCCTGGACTTGCTAGATGGTCCAGGCTGGCCTCAAAATTAGTAGGGATCTACCTGCCTCTGTCTTCCGAGTGCTGTGATTAAAGGTCTGTGCCATTATGTCCAGCAATTCTGAGTTATTTCTAGGTATCTCAGCTCCTTGAGTATGAGTTGAGGTAGAGAAGTCTCTTGAAGGGCTTTGGTTGCCCTTGCCCCTCCCATGCCTTTCCCCAGGGAAGTCTGGGTTTCCTTCTGTGAGTCTGTGTGTGAAGGACTGAGGCCTTTTTTCCAAGGCTGCCTACCAGAACCTCTGCTGAGGCAGAGTCCTGAGTGTGAGGGGAGACGGCTTCCCTGATCTTCCTCTGAACCTCCCGCCTACCAGGGCCCGGCTGATGCAAAGCTTTAAGGAGTCCCACTCCCATGAATCCTTGCTGAGTCCTAGTAGTGCTGCTGAGGCCTTGGAGCTCAACTTAGATGAAGACTCCATCATCAAGCCGGTGCACAGCTCCATCCTGGGCCAGGAGTTCTGCTTTGAGGTAGCTGCTCTTGTGGACTGAGAAGGGTGGAGGGCAGGGATGGTGGAGGCTGGGGCAAAGGGGCCTGAAGAAGTGCCACATGTGGGATGTCAAGGAGGCAGACCTGGGCCAGGAAGGAAGACATGGTGGCGGGTCTCCAGCCTCTAGGAACCCCATCTCAAATCCATGTTCCTCTCCAGGTGACAACATCGTCTGGAACAAAGTGTTTTGCCTGTCGGTCTGCGGCCGAAAGGGACAAATGGATTGAGAATCTGCAGCGGGCTGTGAAGCCCAACAAGGTACTGGTGGGGAGGGGCAGGAGGCTGGAGGACAGGGCTGGGGAGGAGGGGGCAGGAGGCTGGAGGACAGGGCTGGGGAGGAGGGGGCAGGAGGCTGGAGGACAGGGCTGGGGAGGAGGGACAGGTATAGGAGACCTGGACTAGACAGCCAAGGGTGATTCTCCTTATTTCCCTTTCTTCCCATACTGCTACCTCACATCATGTTCTGCTTCCCTACCATGAAAGCCACAGGGCTCTTCAGTCCTCCCGTCCAGTTTCCCCGATAGTGTTTTGTGAACTTTGGTTCCCTGTAAAGTCTGGGCAGTCAGGGTTGGGGTCACTGACCTCCAGGTCCCCTTGAGAGAACCTGTGCACCTGTGCTCCAACCAAGACTTCTGTCCCCGAGCAAAGCTGCCATCCTGTCCGCTGGCCCTGACTCCAGCTGGTAGCAAGCTCACAGTCCTGGCCCTCTTCCTCTTGTCTCCCAGGGCCTTTATTAAGGAGCCCCACTTAATTAGACACAGTCTGAGCCACACTACTTCCGATGCACTGCGGTGTCACATGACCCTCGCCAGGAGCTTGGGCCCGTCTCAGGCCAACTGTCACATCTCGCTGGTCCTGTACATATGCAAGTAGTGTTTTGTTTACAACATCTCATGTTTCTGCAGGACTTCGCATTCCTTTGAGGACTTCTTTGCTTTTAAAAAAATGTTTCTGGGTGTGGTGGCGCACGCCTTTAATCCCAGCACAGAAGCAGGTGGATCTCTGAGTTTGAGGCCAGTCTGGTCTACATAGTGAGAGCTATGGAGAGAGATCCTGTTTGAAAAAATCAAAAATAAACAAATTAAAACTTACATATTTATTTATTTATACAGGGTGTGTGTGTGTGTGTGTGTCTCTGTGTGTGTGTGTGTCTGTGTGTGTATGGTACCACAGTACACATGTGGAAGCCAGAGTACAACTTTCTGAAACTGGTTCTCTCCTTTCATTATGTTGTGAGTCCTGGGACTCAAACTCATGTGATCAGGGTTAACAGCAATAACCTTTACCATCTCATTGGCCCCCTAAGCATTTTTTTTTTTCTTCGAGACAGGGTTTCTCTGTGTAGCTTTGGTGTCTTTCCTGGATCTCACTCTGTAGCCCAGGCTGGCCTTGAACTCACAGAGATCTGCCTGCCTCTGCCCCGTGAGTGCTGGGATTAAAGGCGTGTGCCACCACTGCCTGGCTCTTTTTTGACTTGTTACTCAAGCATTTCCCAACATTAGTTCTGTTGTGTGTGAGCCTACCCTTCTATGTTAGATTCCAAGGCTGCTCTGAAGAGTCACCATGAACTGGGCCAGCTAGAACTATTCTCTCACAGTTCAGGAGGCTAGAGGTCCAAAGTCCAGCTATAAGCAGGGCCATGTCCTGTAGCCATTCTGTAGCCGTTAATTCAGTTCTTCCATCTTTACATGGCCAGCTTCCTTCTGTATGTCTCTAAATGGCCCTTCCATGTGATAAAGTCACCAGTCCCTGGATTAAGAGATCACATTAATCAAGTATGCCCTCATCTTAATTGTATTACATCTGCCAGGACCCTATTTCCACACCAGAAGAGGGCAGAACAGACTCCAGGGGTGTGGACGCTGTTCAAGCCCAGCATGCTTGCCTCACAGCTTCCCTCTCAAGCCCACCTGCTCACTGTCTCTCTCCTGGTGTGTCTGACTTTTCCATTCTGTCTGCCCTCGCCACTTCCTCACGCCAGGACAACAGCCGCCGGGTAGATAATGTGCTGAAACTATGGATCATAGAGGCTCGAGAGCTGCCCCCCAAGAAGCGGTATTACTGCGAGCTATGCCTGGATGACATGCTGTATGCACGTACCACCTCCAAGCCCCGCTCAGCTTCAGGAGACACCGTCTTCTGGGGCGAGCACTTTGAGTTCAACAACCTGCCGGCTGTCCGGGCCCTGCGGCTGCATCTGTACCGTGACTCAGACAAAAAGCGGAAGAAGGACAAGGCGGGCTATGTTGGCCTGGTGACTGTACCGGTGGCCACTCTGGCTGGGCGCCACTTTACAGAGCAGTGGTACCCCGTGACCTTGCCAACAGGCAGTGGGGGCTCTGGGGGTATGGGCTCGGGAGGAGGAGGGGGGTCAGGGGGTGGCTCGGGGGGCAAGGGGAAAGGAGGTTGCCCTGCCGTGAGGCTGAAAGCCCGTTACCAGACAATGAGCATCCTGCCCATGGAGCTGTATAAAGAGTTTGCAGAGTATGTAACCAACCATTATCGGATGCTGTGTGCAGTGCTGGAGCCTGCCCTGAATGTCAAGGGCAAGGAGGAGGTTGCCAGTGCACTGGTTCACATCCTGCAGAGCACAGGCAAGGCCAAGGTGAGCACTGCGCCCCCGGGGAAGAGGAGTTGAGAATGGGCGCTGGTTTGGGGGGCTGTGAAGAGAGGGGAGATTCATGAGCTTGGGCTCTGCAGAGGCTGACACGGGACTTTCTTGGGCCCCAGGACTTCCTTTCAGACATGGCCATGTCAGAGGTAGACCGGTTCATGGAACGGGAACACCTCATATTCCGCGAGAACACGCTCGCCACTAAAGCCATAGAAGAGTATATGAGACTGATTGGTCAGAAATACCTCAAGGATGCCATCGGTATGGCCCACCCTCAGGCCTTGTTCCTAAACTTCCTCACGTCTACCCCGTCACCCCCAAACCTGGCCACCCCAGACCCCACATCCGCCCTTCCTCAGAGCCCAGGTCCCCAGCCTCCAACCATCTGATTCTGCCATTCCTCCAACCCAGGGAGCCCCCTGCCCCTGCCCTTGGGAAGTGTGACCGCTCCCTGTTGTGCCCCCTCTCGCAGGGGAGTTCATCCGTGCTCTGTACGAGTCTGAGGAGAACTGTGAAGTAGATCCCATCAAGTGCACGGCGTCCAGCCTGGCCGAGCACCAGGCCAACCTGCGGATGTGCTGTGAGTTGGCCCTGTGCAAGGTGGTCAACTCCCATTGGTGAGACTGGGAACGCTGGGCTGGGGGGCCAGGGTCGGGCAGTTGTGTGTTCATCTGTTCATCCATCTGTCCATCCTCAGAGGACTGAGCGTCAGTACGGGCAGAGCATTCTGGGGCGTAGAGCAGAAAGAGGTGATGAGGCCCGGTCCCTGACCTCAGAGGGCGGCCTCCAGCCAGAATGAGAAGGACGTGGGATGGGCAGAAAGCCACAGGAGCACTGTGATGTGTGCTCAGGGAGGGTTTTCAGAGAAGACAGGGCTGCGATGAAATGAATAACAGGTGCCCAGGGCTGGGCTTTGAAGAGTGCGGTCAGGGGCTGACATCTGCACACAGTAGGCAGATGACATTTCCAGGGCTGTGAGATAACACACACGACATGGGAAGGTCTGGGAGCCGTTTAGGAGATGGCTAGTAACTGGACAGACTTAGAGGAAGGAGCACACGGCTATAGTGGAGGCGGTAGGAAAGAGGTGTGCTCGGGAGAGGAGAGTGAGAGTCTGGAGTTCTTGGATGCAGGAGTCAGTAGTCATCAGAATGTTGGTATCAGGAAGTAGCATGATTGAGACTGGCCTGTGAATCAAGTGAGCTGTGTGGGAAGAGAAAGGAGGACGTCCAGACCACTGGTGGTTATGGTTAATGGTCAGGAGTGAAAACCAGCTCTTGAATCAGGGTGGAGTCAGAAGGCCCAGAAAAGGACTTGCCTAGGCTCCTCTACAGGAAGGGTCGGCAGGGGTTGTCTGAGGGGTTGTGTAGGGAGTCGGGATGATTCGAGGTCATGGAACTAGTACTTGGGAGACCCACAGTCTCATTGACAGAACCAGAGGAGTCAAAAGGAGGAGCCAGCTGGCAGTGTGGGGGCGATAGTGAGCTCTATTTTCCACTAGTCAAGTTTAAGGTGTCAGTGGGACATTGAAGTGGCACTGGGAGGCGGGACGAGTGAGCCGAGCCATTCCAGGGCCTGGGGATCATGCCTGGGGCACGTCCATCCCCATTTCCCTGGAATCCAGAAGAGTTGGGGGGTCCGAGCTCCCTGTACCTCAAGTGACCCCCCATCTCTCTCCCATCTCTGTCTCTCCCTGGTGTCTGTTTTTCTCCCCCTCTCCTCGTCTTTCTCACACGCCCCTCCGTCTCTCTCCCGTGTGTCTCTCTCTCCTCACCCTTTCTCCCTCTCCATTTCTCTCTCCAGATCTGTCCCTCTACCGTGGCCCTCTTCTTCAGCAGCCTCCTGTCTTCCTCCTGCGGTCCTCCCCTCCCAGTCTCTCTCACCTGTCTCCACACCCTCACCTCCTACCACCCCTCAGCATGTTCCCTGGAAGCTGAGGGTCTCTGGGGCTCAGTCCCGGTCTCTCTTTCTCTCTCTCTCTCTCTGTCTCCCCACCCCTTCCCCCCAGCGTGTTCCCGAGGGAGCTGAAGGAGGTGTTTGCATCTTGGCGGTTGCGCTGTGCAGAGCGGGGCCGGGAAGACATTGCCGACCGGCTGATCAGCGCCTCGCTCTTCCTGCGCTTCCTCTGCCCAGCCATCATGTCGCCCAGTCTGTTTGGGCTTATGCAGGAGTACCCAGATGAGCAGACCTCACGAACCCTCACCCTCATCGCCAAGGTCATCCAGAACCTGGCCAACTTTTCCAAGTGAGGGAAACTTCAGGAAGGGTGGGAATGAACTGCGGGCTTCTGGAAAAGTCTCCTGAGTCACCAGAGCATCTGTACCCCTGAGCAGGTTTACCTCAAAGGAGGACTTCCTGGGCTTCATGAATGAATTTCTGGAGCTGGAGTGGGGTTCCATGCAGCAGTTCTTGTACGAGATATCCAACCTGGACACACTGACCAACAGCAGCAGTTTTGAGGGCTACATAGACTTGGGCCGCGAGCTCTCCACACTTCATGCCCTGCTCTGGGAGGTGCTGCCCCAGCTCAGCAAGGTTAGTGGATGTTTCCTCTGTCCTGTCTCCAGGTACTTACCTCTCTGCACAGAACTCTTCCCACCTTGCTGTTCCCGGAAACGTCACCCCCACCTCCAGTACACTTCACAAAGCCTCTGTCTGTGCCCTCTGAGGCCCTTTTGGAACTGGGCATTTACCCATCGGGTGACAGCCTTGTCCTTGCAGGAAGCCCTCCTGAAGCTGGGCCCACTGCCCCGGCTCCTCAACGACATCAGCACAGCCCTGAGGAACCCTAACATCCAAAGGCAGCCGAGCCGCCAGAGTGAACGGACTCGGCCTCAGCCCGTGGTGCTGCGAGGGCCATCAGCCGAGATGCAGGGCTACATGATGCGGGACCTCAATAGGTGAGCATCCTGCTCCCCCACTGCTGTGCTCTGGGAGCCTGGTTGTTCCTGGATGCTTCTTGCTGGGCCCTAGATGCATCTCTCTAAGCCTCCAAAGGGAAAAACTGCAAGTTCTTAGGGACAATGGTAAGGGTACAGGCAGTGGGGGGCTGAGAGCTCTTTAGAGCCAGAGGGAGAAATGCAGAGTCCAGAGGTACTGAGGCTCCTCTGCTCCCAGCTTAGTTGAAGCCAGAGGGACTCTGCTGTAGCTGACTGACTTTGTCCCTCCACCAGCCCATGCTTGTCTGCAGGCTGCGATTCAGCCATGTGGGATCAAAACACTCAGGTGTCTCTAAGTGACCTAACAACCCCCGCCCCCAGCCTACACCTTACCCCAGGAGCGCCCCGTGACCCAGCATTCAGAGAAATAGCAGCTGGAGCTGAGTGGGCCCTGGAGCCTGGCATCCAGTTTGATGGGGTGGGGCTGGGCCTCGGCAAGTGTCCTTCATCTGTGATCACTCTGCTATCCCTCACCCCTGTCTCCATCTACGACACCACACCTGTCCTGCCATTCCCCCATCATCTCTCCACACCTCTCTCCTTCTCCTGTCTGTGCTTGCCCTCTGCATCTCTCTCCAGCTCCATCGACCTTCAGTCCTTCATGGCTCGGGGCCTCAACAGGTGAGGGCTCTGTCCTCCCCCCTCCCGCCCTGCTGCACTGGCCTCCGCCCGCCTCTGCTCCTCTGCCCCTCAGGGCACCTCATCTCCTCCATACCTGCCCAGGGCAGCCCTCACTCCTCCTGCTGCCCCCACCCCCTTTGCCAGGCCTTACCCCTCCTAGGCCTTGTCCTCCCTTCTCCCCTCCTCCCCTCCTCCCCTCCTCCAGCTTTCCCTGCCATCCCCCCGCCTGCCTCTTCAGGGCTGCCACCACCAGCGCTCAGCCCTTCCCCGGGGGTCCCACTCCTCACCAGACCACAGGCTCAGGTGCCAGTAGTCCTGGTCTTAGTTCTGCCTGTGTGTCCTCCTTTCCTTCCAACAGCTCTATGGACATGGCTCGCCTCCCCTCCCCAACCAAGGAAAAGCCACCCCCACCGCCACCCGGTGGGGGTAAAGACCTGTTCTATGTGAGCCGGCCACCACTGGCCCGGTCATCCCCAGCATACTGCACGAGCAGCTCGGACATCACAGAGCCAGAGCAGAAGATGCTGAGTGTTAACAAGAGCGTATCCATGCTGGACCTGCAGGGCGACGGGCCTGGGGGCCGCCTTAACAGTAGTAGTGTTTCCAACCTGGCAGCTGTCGGGGACCTGCTGCACTCCAGCCAGGCCTCACTGACGGCAGCCTTAGGGCTGCGGCCTGCCCCTGCCGGGCGCCTCTCCCAAGGGAGTGGCTCTTCCATCACAGCAGCTGGCATGCGCCTCAGCCAGATGGGTGTCACCACGGATGGTGTCCCTGCCCAGCAACTGCGCATTCCCCTTTCCTTCCAGAACCCTCTCTTCCACATGGCTGCTGATGGGCCAGGGCCCCCAGGGGGCCATGGAGGGGGCAGTGGTCATGGTCCACCTTCCTCACATCACCACCACCACCACCATCACCACCATCGAGGTGGAGAGCCCCCAGGGGACACCTTTGCCCCATTCCATGGCTATAGCAAGAGCGAGGACCTCTCCTCAGGGGTCCCTAAGCCCCCTGCCGCCTCCATCCTTCACAGCCACAGCTACAGTGATGAGTTCGGACCCTCTGGTACTGACTTCACCCGTCGGCAGCTCTCACTTCAGGACAACCTTCAGCATATGCTGTCCCCTCCCCAGATCACCATCGGTCCCCAGAGGCCAGCTCCCTCAGGGCCCGGAGGTGGAAGTGGTGGGGGCAGTGGTGGGGGTGGTGGGGGCCAGCCGCCTCCCTTGCAGAGGGGCAAGTCTCAACAGTTGACAGTGAGTGCTGCCCAGAAACCCCGGCCATCCAGCGGGAACCTACTGCAGTCCCCGGAGCCAAGTTATGGTCCTGCCCGTCCACGGCAACAGAGCCTCAGCAAAGAGGGCAGCATTGGGGGCAGCGGGGGCAGCGGTGGCGGAGGGGGTGGGGGGCTCAAGCCCTCCATCACCAAGCAGGTAGGTGAGGGTAGGAGGAGGTGGGTGGGTGAAGAGCAGCAAGGGAAGGACGTGGGGGCAGGGAGTGGGTGGAACAGTGTAGTCTGGTGTCACAATTTTCTCACCTCCTTTGGCCTGTATTCTCAGCATTCAGGAGGCAAGAGGATACAAGTTTAAGGCCAGCCAGGGCCAGATAGTGATATTCTGTCTCTAAACAAAAAGCTCAGAAACATAAGAAGAGGGCCCTCAGCAGTGTCCCATGGACTGTTCAGGCAGCAGGGATGTGTAGATGGAGAGGTGAGGACTCTCCCCAGGGAGTGTCAGAGAGGAGAAGGCTACAGCAGGGAACAGGTCTGGGGTGCCGTTTTTGTGTTTCCTCCTCTGAACACACCCCCTCTCCCACCTTCCCGCTGTCTGCCCCACCTTGCTTGTCTTAGCATTCCCAGACGCCATCCACGCTGAACCCCACGATGCCGGCCTCGGAACGGACTGTGGCCTGGGTCTCCAATATGCCTCACCTGTCAGCTGACATCGAGAGCGCGCACATCGAGCGGGAAGAGTACAAACTCAAGGAGTACTCAAAATCGATGGATGAGAGTCGGCTGGACAGGGTACGCTGGCCTTGCCCCCTGAGGCTCGTTCCTACTGTTAATGCCAGGGAAGGCCTTTAGTCCTTCCAAGGGAAAAACATCTGTGCTCAGATAGCTGGGTGAAAATGAAAGACAGGCAGACCTCTTTACTAGTCTGTTAGGGCCGTATGTTATCAGTCTATTTAAACCTGACCCAACTCTCTGTGGGTTACATACACTGTAGATTGGAGAGAACTATTCCAGCCAGGCTCTAAGAAAGAGAATGGCTGCAGGTTAGGGTGTGTGTGAAGGACACTACCCAAACTAGGCCTGGTAGCACAGGCCTGTGAACTGTTACTCAGACTAAGACAGGAGATGTCAAGTTCAAGGCCAGCTTGGACAACTTAATGATACCCTGTTTCAAAATAAAAAGTAAAGATAAAGTCATGGAATATAGTTTGTGGAAGAACGTTTCCCTAGCATGTATGAGGCCCTGCATATCAGTTCTACTAGAGGGTTAAGCACTCATGCCCACGGCAATCATCATAGGCCACAAATTCCTCTCTCCTGTGTGTCTAGAATGGAACTGCTTAGGGATGGGCCTTCACAGCACGGTAAAGGCTTCTCAGATGGCCTTTCTTGTCCATGCTTCAGGTGAGGAGTCCTCGTGAGGAAGGCTCCAGTTTAGCACTAGACACCAGAGCTTCCAGGAGTGAAAATAAACTGGGAACATACACTTCCTGGAGCTAGTGGCTACCGAAATGACACCTATATATTGTTGCAATTCGGGAACTAAAATCTTAGAGTTATTTAACTTTTAAATAGCTATGTGTAAGCTGGGGGTAGAGCTCAGTAGTGAGGCTTCGGGTTTGATCCCTAAAACCTAAAAGAATCACATGTGACAACTATATTAAGTAACAGGTAAATGAAGTAACTGGTCTGAACTCTTCTGGACCTGGAATCCCAGACTCCTATTAATAGTCATATTCTCAGCCTGGTGTCCCCTTGATCTCCTGTCTGCAGGACAGGCCTAAGGAGGGGTCATTTATGAGACAGCACCTGCCCCACCTTACCTGCAGTCTCCCGCCCCCAGTGTGCTCAATCTTGGTTTGGAACTACAGTCCCTTTGTCTCTCATTTCTAGATAATGCTTCCTATGTCGTGTCCAGTAGTCTTGCCAGGGTGCCCTATGGGGCTCCATATTCCCCATGCTTGTGTGAGGGCATGGCACACTTCTAAGATGTGGACTTTGACCTTGCTCCATCTTGAGGAAGCCTCACTATCACATAAGGCTTTCTTAAAAACAGATCAAGTGTGTCCAACAGGCAGAGAAGGATCGGGTGCTCCTTGTGTGGTGGCTAAACAGACGGGGATGGGAACGGGCTGGTAACGCCAGGGCAGGACGCTCCTCACAGTGCGGGGTCATGTGCCCGGCGGGCAGGTGAAGGAGTACGAGGAGGAGATTCACTCACTGAAGGAGAGGCTACACATGTCCAACCGGAAGCTGGAAGAGTATGAGCGGAGGCTGCTGTCTCAGGAAGAACAGACCAGCAAGATCCTGATGCAGTATCAAGCCCGCCTGGAGCAGAGCGAGAAGCGCCTGAGGCAGCAGCAGGTGGAAAAGGACTCCCAGATCAAGAGCATCATTGGCAGGTGAGGGGCGGCCCGGGGTGAGGCTGGAGGGAGAGGGAGATGGGAAAAGCCTGCCCCCTCACCAAGCCCTGGCATTGCTCACACACTAACTTCTGAAGCCCTGGGAGATACACCAATTACTGTTTTACATCACTGGACTTGGCTTGGGCCTAGACTCCCTATCAGTTTTTCTTAACCCCACCTCTGAGGTTCACCACAAAGCTAAGCAGCGGTCCCTAACCACAGGAGCCCTTAACCATTCCTGCGTTCCTGGGCAGAGATCCTTCTCCAGCCATGGGAAGGGGTTCCATGAGAAAGGGGCTTTTTTTTTTTTTTTTTTTTGGTTTTTCAAGACAGGATTTCTCTGTGTAGCTTTGCGCCTTTCCTGGAGCTCACTTGGTAGCCCAGGCTGGCCTTGAACTCACAGAGATCCGCCTGCCTCTGCCTCCCAAGTGTTGGGATTAAAGGCGTGCGCCACCACGCCCGGCTCAGTTGTGGACACTTTTAATCCAAGCTCTCCGGTGGATTTCTGAGTTCGAGACCAGCCTGATCTACATAGAGACTTCCAGGACAGCCAGGGCTACATAGAGAGACCTTGTCTCAAAAAAACAAAACAAAACAAAACAAAAAAAATGACACAAATCTAACCTCAGGATCCAGGAGTACCCATGTCTGTAATCCCAGCATTTAGGAGGTGGAGGCAGGAGGATAACTTCGGCTACATAGTGCGTTCTAGGTTTGCTAGAAAAAAACATATAGGGAGAAAATCTACTTTTCTGGGTTGGAGAAATGACTCAAGTGGTTAAGAGGAAATACTGCTCTTGCAGAGGATCTGAGTTCAATTCCCGGCACCCACACCAGGTGTCTATAACTCCAGCTCCAGGAACACCTGCATTCACACACACACACACACACACACACACACACACACACACACACACACACACAGTTAAAAAATAATAGAAATAGGTTGGGTAGTGGTGGCGTAGTGGCATACACCTTTAATCCCAGCATAGAAGCAGGTGGATCTCTGTGAGGTTTGAGACATAGTGAGTTCCTGGATAGCCAGAGCTATACAGAGCTCTTGTAAAACCAAAGTAATAATAATAACAACAACAGTAGGAATAAGCTGGGTGTGATGGCGCATGCTTTTAATTCTATCACTGGTGAGGCAGAAGCAGGCAGGTCTCTTGAGTTTAAGGTCAGCCTTGTATACACAGTGAGTTTCAGGCCAGCCAAAGCTACACAGTGAGACTGTCCTGAAAAACCAGTAAGTGAATAAATAAGTGTAAACAAGTCTTTAAAAAGTCCCTCAGAAGGCAGGCATGAGGACCCTGGGAGGAAGTGGAAAGCAAGAGTCCCGGGTAACAGCATCTTTTGGGTCGAGAGGAATTCTGCAAGGAGGCAGAATTGTCCAGAGCTTTTCCGGAGTTGCAGGGGTTGCCCAGGGTCAAGAGTACCACAGTGGGCTCTGAGCCCGTGCCCGCCACTAACCCCACTGAAGCCCGTCCCTTCAGGCTGATGCTGGTGGAGGAGGAGCTGCGTCGGGACCACCCCGCCATGGCTGAGCCGCTGCCTGAACCCAAGAAGAGGCTGCTCGACGCTCAGGTGGAAATTACAATGTCATTTATCTTCTCCGTGTCCCATCCCCATCCATCCCACTGTCTCTGTGCACTCATGGCACCAGCCACCCCGGCCACCCCCATCTGTCTGCCGTGGTCCTGTCTGTCTACTGGCTGCTTCCTTCCTGCAGCCCCCGTGGTCCATCTCCATCCCACTGTCTCCATCCCACGGTCAGCCTTGTGTACACAGTGAGTCTCTGTCCCGCCTCTGCCTCCTGCCCTGTCCCCCACTCTTGCCTGCATCAGGACCTTCCTTCCACCAGAGCCTCAGCCTCTCAGCGCCCCTGTCCCCAGTGCCCTTGAACTTGTGCCTCTTACGAGGAGGCCGCTCCTGTCTGCTTCTTCAGCTCTTCTTGAGTCAGGAAGGCTGGCGTCCCACTGGATAGAGTGGAGCATGGATAATCTGAGCTGTACTTCTCCAGCTCTGTGTACCCTGGAGACTCAGGGTCCTCCTGACTCCCCATTCTGACACGTGGGCAGGTCCTACGTAGCCTCTTTCCTCTGGCTCTTCCGATCCTAAGGTCTCTCCCAGAGGCCCCTTCCCATAACTCAAATTCGGCTTGCCTTTGGCCTCTGGTGTTCCCCGAACCGATGTCTGACTCCCGGTCACCACCCTCTCTGCTCTCCAGCCAGCTTCCAGGCCCTCTCCACCCTTGCCCTGCTCTATCCTATCCATACTCCTCCTCCCTCTGCTCTGACCACCAGGACTTCCTGCCCCCGCCACCAAGCCTCCTGACCCCATGACCCCACTCTCTCCCCCTGCAGCTCCTCATCAGGTAATTCTCCTGGTTCCGCTTTGACCACGGGCGGAGGACACTGGGGGAGGTGACTCCGGACCACTGCAGGTTGGTGGTGAAGCCCACCCTTTCCAACTCTCTGCAGCCTCTCCCTCACTGCTGCCCACTCCACCCAGAGACCCTCCACAGAGCCCACCCTCCTGACACCTCCTGCACAGACAGACCCTTCCCGAGGCACAGCCAGAGCGTACCTGCAGACACCCCCACACCACTGACACCTTAGCACCACCAAAGTGGACTCTTACAAAGACCAAGCACATTTACAGGTTCCCCGGTTCTCTCCAAACTGGCCCCACAGGCACCTCCTGACAACACCCTCCCTTTCCTCTACCTATCCAGTGTCTGTCTGTCACCCCCCATTTCACCAGAGTGTCCTTGGAAGTTGGGGTGTTGGGTGGGTGTAACGGGGTGGAGGGGTATTGGGCTGGGCCAGGCTAGGGGCTGTGCCGACTCCAGCAGGTAGGTCGGGGTCTCCTCTTCCTTTCCTAACTCCTGCCCTGCTGCTCTCTGCCTCTGCTTTCTCCCTTGTGAGGCGGAAGGGACCTGAGGCTTCCGTAGTTACTACTGGGTGGAAGTTGGGAGTGGGCAGTTAATTCAGGGCGACACTAAGGACCCTGGAAAAGATGCTGTTAAGATGTCCTGACAGGTGAACAGAGTGGATGGCATATGACAAGCAAGACAAAGAGTCTTGGACAGATGTCAGGCTGGACTTTTTCATGTGGCCTGTAACTTAGAAGTGAGGAGAAACAGCTTCCTAGAATGTAGTCAAGGGCCTAGTAGCCATATTTAGGTTCAGGCAGGGACACTAGGAACAGCATGTTAAACAACCTCTCTTGTCAGAGCTCAAGTTCCTGAGTTGCTAATGCCACTCCTTTCCCTCTCCTGCCCCCCAGGAGTCTTTAGGACACACAATCCTACCTGAAAGCCAGCAGCTGGGAAGCTGCCAGGTGCACCTCGGTCCTGAGACACATTTGTTTCTGTGGGGCTGATTTGTGGGGGGCAGTGGCTCCTCACTCTGTCATTTTAACTCTCTGCCTGCCCAGCCTCTCTGTCAAAGCAGTTAGTGATCTGTAAACAAATGCTGAAAGACACCAGGGAACCTCACCATTTAAAGGACTCCAGCAGTGAACTCCTTTGTAAAATGAATAATAGCACCCTAATTTATCCAGCTTCTAAATTTGGGACCGTGAGGGCGTAGGGGGCATGCCCATGTGTCGTCATGAGCAGACAGGCAGCGTGGAGGGAATCTGAGGGTTCCTTCCCCTGTTCTCTTCCTACATGTACTTAGGGCTCCTATTACGTATAATCTCCTCTCCCACTGACTGGCTGTGAGATACCCAGATAGTCAAGAGGGCAGAACTGACTAAGGTTATATTTTGGGTGGCCTTGTAACAGGTGAGTCTTTGGTTCGGATATGGAAGCCTTCATTCATTTCTTGTGTCCTTTGGAGATAGGGTCAGATACAGAGAGCTACATGCTGCTCTACCTAACGTTCTGTGGCTCAGACAGTCATCTGTGTGTGTGTTCCAAACCATTTGTAGGCTTTGCTCCCACTGCAGCCCAGCAAGTAAAAATAAAAATGAGTTTTGAGCTAGATTTTTAAAGCCAAGTAAGTGTCGACAAGTGTGGGGACTCGGGTGGTCTTCACTCTCAGCAGAGGCTCAGAAGGTTGGGCTGAGCAGGAGCCAGGAAACCGGTCCCAGAGGCCATGGAAGGTCCTGACAATAGGTAGAGGAGTGACACAGGGCCTGCCACTCAAGCTGGAGGCCGGGAGGGGAGCTGCAGAGGAAGGAGGGTGGGAAGGAGTGGAACTGGGGGGGCATAACGGCTCTAAACCAGTGGTTCTCAACATGTGGGGCGTGACCCACTTCACAGGGGTCGCAGACCAGATATTTATGATCCATAACGGTGGCAAAATTAGTTATGAAGTAGCCACAAAATAATTTCATGGTTGGGGGTGTCACATGAGGAACTGTGTTAAAGGGTCTCAGGTCAGGAAGGTTGAGGACCCCTGCTCTAAACCTGTCAGTCGTTCCTACAAGATGTCCCTCCACATCACTTCCCTGACCCCTTCCTGTCTCCAGTACAGTTAAACCTCTCTCACTTGGGATCTAAGTTTGAGAGTAACTGACAAACTGAGTGACAGTGTCTGTTAGTGAGCACCTGTCTTCAGAGCACAGTAAGTAAACCGCTAAGCAGGGCTGCTCCACAGGCCTGCAGGGAGCCTAGTGAAACAAGTCCCCGCCCACAGACACATTCCCACCCATTGCTTAGCACACCCTTTCTTCCCAGATCAAGGAAAACTCAGGGCCTGGTTTTGTTCCAGTTATGAACAAACTTCCAGATCTGTGGGGGTTTGGACTAATGAGGTTTTACTGTATTGCCTCCGCTGGTTCCTCAGTGTGAAGTTCCTGCCTGGGTGGAAGGTGCTGGGAGGGGTTTCCATGGTGCCATGGACAGGGGTTGGGGGCTGGAAGCGGGAGTCATGTCAGAGGAAGGTGAGAGCTAGTTGCTCTTGAGCTGGTTTTCTGGTGTGAGTTCTCTCCCTGCTCCCCCAGAACCCCTGGAGGTGAGAAACAAAACAGAGAGGGTGGACAGGGCTGTGGGTGAGAGCACTGCTCGGGGCTGGCATCCCTGCCCCGCGAAGCGTCTCAATAAGTCCGCGCTCTCCTCTTTGGTGTCTTGCAGGAGAGGCAGCTTCCCCCCTTGGGTCCAACAAACCCGCGTGTGACGCTGGCCCCACCTTGGAACGGCCTGGCCCCCCCAGCCCCACCTCCCCCACCCCGGCTGCAGATCACAGAGAACGGCGAGTTCCGAAACACCGCAGACCACTAGCCCACCCAGCATCACAGACCTCCTTCCTTGTGCACCCCACCCCGGAACATCACCAACCACCAGGACTGGACATCACCGAGGGACAGCAGGATTGCCTCCCTTGGTGCCTCCTCGAGGCACCCATCCGCCACCTCCACTGCACCATTTCTAGGAGGGAGAGTGGGACCCTGAGCTGCCCTCTTCACCCCCAGGGACCCTCACCCCAGGACACCACCTACCCCACAGACCCCTTCACTCCGGGGTGCTATCCCCACCCTCTGCCTCATAGTTCCCCTGAGCACTGGGGGACAGACCCTCACACCCACACTGGGGGTGAGGCACCTCCAAACTTTCAACTTCAGGGTGATTTTTTAGCAGTAACCAGAGCTGACAATCTAACTCCCCTCCACCACCCCATTTTGGCCTCCCCTGTCCCCCTTGTTATGGGGAGGGGACCCCGGGTGAGGGGGCCCTATTACCCCTTGATTTCTCAGGAGCGTCTGGGGGGGCTCAGCACGCACAAACTCCTTCTCCTCTTTCCACTCTCTTACATTTACTTTCCCCACCCAGAACCCAGATGGGGTGGAGGGGGCCACCGGGGCAGGGAGGGGGCGGCAAGGGGGGAATGGGGGTCGCCTCCCCTTCTTCCCACACCTGATCTGCTCTTGGCTGGTCCCAGAGCGGGGTGAGGGGGCTTATGCCCCCCCCTCCCCCAGTGTGTTGGGTGGGGTGGAACTGAGGTTCGGATGAGGGGTTAGGGTTTGGGAGGCCACGTGTGCTGGGTTGTGGAGGACAGACTAGCTGATCTGCCTTACCCCGACACACAGCCAGCCCCCTACCCTTCCCTCTTTTGTCTCTACTCCCATGGGGAGGGGGAACTTACTCTAGGAAAAGCCATGTCTCTCTCCCCCAGGGTGGGGGACCTGTGTTGGAGGATGGGTGTTTGGGGGCCCCCTTCCATGACTCTGTCCCCTGGGGGAGGTAGGACAGGGCTGGGCTTCCCTCTCACCCTCCCCCCTCACCCAGTCTCCCTCCCTCCCGCCAGCTCCACGATTTTTCGGTGTTTCTCTGTACATAGCTCTCTGGCGGGACAGGGGAGGTAGGATGGATGGGGTTTGGGGTGGGTAGGCCATGGAAGGGAGAGATCCCTCCTGGGTACCCCCTCTTCTCTGACTGCTGTCCCCTACCCAGCCTTGTCTCCTAACCCCTTCTTGCGTTTGGTATTGAGAATTCCTCCCAGACTCCAGACTCGACCTTTTGTATGGACAGCTCTCCTTCGATCTTACCCTCTACACACATCCACCCAGCCGGGGCCAAATTTATACTTATATAAAAGTTGTAAATATGTGAAATTTTATCCCGTTCCCTTTCCTCTGCTTACCCCACTTCAGGCCCCGCCCTCGCCCTCCCCCCTCCTCTTTGGCTGTTGTAATTATCTGGGGTTTGTACTGTACATAACGGGCTGGGGGCTGGGAGGCGACCCCTCTGTACAGAGCTTCCTGGCTCCCTAGCCCCACCCCTCACTTCTCCCCCCACCCACCACCTTAAGAGTACGAAGACCTCCTTCTTACTCATTTTTGTTTGTTTACTCGTTCTCTTTACCGCCCCTACTCCCCGCCCCGCCCCCTTTCTCCCACTCCCATTTCCTTTTTTTCTGGAGTGTGTGGTGAAACAGAAAAATCATGTTTAATAAACGGAGATTGTTCTTTTATCGCTGGGTTAAATTTTTTTTTTTTTTATTAAGTCTTGGTTTTTCGGGACAGGGTTTCTCTGTGTAACAGCCCTGGCTGTCCTGGATCTCGCTCTGCAGACCAGGCTGGCCTCGAACTCACAGAGATCCTCCTGCCTCTGCCTCCCGAGCGTTGGGATTAAAGGCATGCGCCACCTCGTCCAGCACTGGGCAGACTTTTTAGTCTGGAGTCCCGGGAACCACCTGAAGGGGTGACAGGAACTACTCTGGGGGAGAACGCGGCCAGTCTGCAAGCAGTGCTACAGGGTCCCACCCAGTCAGGAGAACAGCATAGACCGCAGCGTCCTCCCCACCCCACTCCCGCTCTCCACCCGCCGCAGCACTCAACCCGCAGGCGCAGAGGCTGCGAACGGACCCAGGCGAGCACACGGTCTTTGCAAAACTCTCGACACAGGCTTTAATCGTGAGGACGCGCCTCTGGCAACGGGAGGGAAAGAGCCGGGGTCCTTAGCGAGCGAGCGCTCCAGACCTCCGGCCTGGCTGCCCCGCGTGCACACTGAGGCCAGCGGCACCTACCTCGCGCGGCGGCGGAAGACCCCGACGGCGCCGCCGAGCCCGGCACGCCCCTCACCGCCCCGCGGAC